CAGGGAAAGGCGGTGAGCGTGGGGCCGCAGCCGGTGAGGTTCGTGCCGGCTGGAGCAGAAGGGGGTGTGGCGGCGGCGGCCGGGGGCAGGCCGCCGAGGGGAAACAAGACGGCGGCAGCGGAGGCGATGGGCGGGGATCGCGTGGGGCGGACGCTGGCTTTTGCGGCGTGATAATTTGGGGATTTGTTTATTATTATTATTATTATTATTATTATTATTATTATTATTATTATTATTATTGTCATTTAGACTTTTGTGAAGTAATTTTCAATTTCGTTTTTTATATGCATAATTGCGCTTTTTTTTTTATTTGATTTGATGTCTCGATATTAATTTAAAATTTGGGACTTAAGTAACAAAGTTTATTTAGATTGTGTGTAATTTTTGGTTTGTGCCTATGTACCTATGGATGAAGTAGTTACCTTAATTTTAAGAAACAAAGAAGTCTTTCTTGTATACAAATTGGAGAAAGCAATTTTCGTTTTGTTTTAGGCTTAACATTTAACTTCATATACAAAGTGAAGAAAGCACATTTTCATGCTAAAATGATGTTATCTGAATTATTTTTGAATTCATAATTCAGTGTGACAGTTATCGATAACCGACTTGGACTGTGTCTTAAGACGATAATAATTGAGATTATCACATAAAATTTGTTTCTATGACAAACATAAATCATCTCGGAGTATGATACACCTCGGTTCGGGCCAGACGATCAAACCGACTTTTAGAAGAGCCATCAACAACCGACTTCCCAAAGATTCTCGAAGTATCGACTTATTAACATGTGACTAAGCACATCACTGATTGGACCGCGAATAAAATAAAATCATTGTTATCCCCTCCACAAGTATCAAACCGCTTAAAAAAGGCACGATGCATTAAATGCAATCTTATCTAACTCGTACAATAAGTCAAAACGTACTCTATTGTAAATAGCAGAATTTGTTAATATAGAGGGGTTCGGTTGAAAAACCTATTTACTTACTACAATAAATTAAGAGATATTAACTCGGTTCACACTTGTGTCGACGTCCTGTACTCAATAAAAATCCAGAATTAATGCAAGATCTTGATTTTCATTGCTTTAAAAATCCAGAATTAATTACTATTTCAATTTTACATCTCTTTATTTATTAAAAAAAAAAAACATTTTTCAATAAGAAATGGATTAATTTTATCCTCTTTTAAGATGCATGTCTCTTGAAATTTAAGTTGTATCATAAGTTACACCAAACAAGGCATTTCGTTTGGCATATTGATATATACCAACATTAATACAAATATTTGGTGGTTAGAAATTAATGGTCCAAACTCCAAACAATCCTATCATAGAAAGGGAAATAAAATAAATTCCGACACCTAATTCTAATCAATTAAAAAGCACCAAATTCACTAACTTTATTATTTTTGTACATTAATTGAATTAAAAGTTAGATATGTAGATACATCACCTTTGCTGGAAATAATATAACTTTTAGAAGCTCTAAAAGTGATGCAATATTACATATCATTGTCCTTCACTCATGGGTTTTCTATTTGGGGGAAAATTAAAAATTAATATCAAAAGTGTAAAATCGCCCCTATATATATCTCACCTATGCGCTGAGCCTACGTGGCTGTTTCTGGTGCTTTGAAATCCTGTTTGGCGAAGAATAATGCTTCGTAATTAGGTTCGGACAAATAATATTGATATATTAATAATTAATATCTAGGTTCGGACATTCCATAAATATTATTTAGCTAACTTAAGTATTTTAATATCACTTGTACTAATATAACCCTTTAATTCTTTGTAATTTTACATAGTAAGACACTAAGTGACTAATATATCCCTGACTTTTGATTTGTTTCCTTCAATTGGCTATTGAATTATAAATGTATTTTAAAAGTTGATAACTTTTGTATTTCTTATCGGTTTTACATATATAATATATCAAATTAATCATCTTTTCATGATCTTCGATTTGACATCCATATTGTATATATAAAATAAATAAATAATATTACCTTTATAATAATAAAAAATAATATTTATTAAATTTTATTAGAAAAATAAAATTATTTCTCAGTTGATATATTTTTGTTTAATGTAGTTATATGTTGTAAGTTAAAAAATTATTATAATATAACACCAGTATGTCACACAAATAAAAGTGTCATACTAAATATATAATAATATATATTTTTATAAAAGTTATTTAAATTTTCAACTACTTTTTCTCAATAATTTTAGATTTTAAAGAAAAATTAGCAAACACCCGTGTAATACACGGGCGTTGTACTAGTATAGACATTATAGTATGAATGTGTAATGTTAAAAGTTTAATTATTTCATCATCATACCATAGAAAGATCACCTTATTATGTTCTACATATTTTGTGTAAGTTTATTTACGTTATCATCTATGTTGTATCAGTTTTACTGTGGAGCCATCGAATGACAGTATGGAGTCATTTATAGTTATTTACAAATGGTATAATGACGCGTGTCCTGCAATAAATGCACACTGATCATGTGTCAGTACATAAAGTTACGGATGACTCCATAAAAGAGCCATCCGATGACTCCATAGATTTTCGTTGGTCCCAAACCAAATCATTCTAGCAAATTCTAAAGGCAATGGACATAAAAGAAGTTGAAAAAAGTTATTTTTTCCTCTCCCCGTTTTAGCAAGATATTTTCTAACGAAGCTAACACCACAAGTGCAGAATCCATGTAAAACCACAACAACAAAAACATGGCAAAAACTATCAATCTTTCAATCAAAAAACAGCCATTTCCCCCCTCTTCTCAATATTACAAGGAACTAACGAGTAAATGCTACATTTTTGCATAAATGATGGGCGTTTTTGCAATTTATTTTGTTGATTAAGAAGGGGAACAATGCGATACGACATCAAAACGTAAGGGGGTTTTACAGTAATCTTCAGAAACATTAGGAGTTCTTCTGTAATTATAGCAAACTTTAGGAGCAGGGGAATGTTTGTAATTACTAATTACTCAATAGCTTCGAAGCAAAAACTTGAAAACAGAACATGAAAGAACATTGAAGAGAAATAGATTTTACTCTAATTTTATGAAAAGATCTCAGCAAGAATACTGAGCCACTTCTACACGACGGCATAAAAAACGTATGGGAAACAAAAAAAAAAAAAAAAAAAAAAAAAAAAAAAAAAAAGGTAAAATAGTTACTAGAAAAAAGAAATATAAAAAAAATAAAGGAAATAGCGGCAAAATCTGAAGGTTGCTGAATTTTTACGGTAAGATCAGAAGTGTGTCTGCACTCGAAGCACCAGCTGCCTTCACAAACGTCCGTCCACTGCAGAGATAAATTTATATATAATTAATAAGAGTAATTTGAAATACGAACAAAACGAAATAAAGAGTAAAAATTACAAGGCAAAAAATGGATACAATAAGAACTTGTGAGGGAACATTAGTTTTACTTTTGCAATAGTCATGATTATCGATCAAATCCACTCATGAGACGTGCTTCTCAACTTTAGTTCTTGATCGATACTGATAGTAAAAGAACTGAACAAGTATCTGAGAACATTTTATTAAGGTTATTGCAATATTTAGACATTCATTTTAAAAAGAAAAAAGTTATTTCATCCTTAAATTTGTAAGTAGATTAAGTAGAGGATACGAATATATCTAGAAGCACACATCCCCCGGACTCCACCAGCCAAGGAAGATTTGGCTGTATTTTCGACCAGTTTAAACTGTTAACAAGAATGCTGCAGAAGAAAAAATATATCTATAAATAACAAATATGTTTCCGAAAGGAAGAGAAAATATGGGGAAAGAATGAAAAAGCATAAAGATTTGCAGCTTTTGCTTACCTTGCGACATACGTAGAGTTACCAACAAGAGCAAAAACAAACATTAGTGGGTTAAGCCCCTGCACTCGACACCGAGACAAAAGTTATCTTTTATGGTTTTTTTTTTTCTTATTTAAAAAAAATGGAGGGAGCAAAAATAACACTTACCTCAGCATTTCCCCTTTGAAACTGTAGAAATTTGGAGAAAGAAAATGTTAATATTTTGTTTCGAGTTTTTTATATAATTCAATTCTAGACAGGAAGAAGTTCAGATAATATGATATTATAATTACATTCAGACAAATTTGGGGTAAACGTCCGCCCATGTATATAGCTGCCATTCCCCAACCGAAATATGTTCCAATCCCATTGCTCTCTGCAGACAAAGTTTCTTGAGTTGAACTTCGAGTGGCCTGTAATTTCGATAAATATATAAATCAACTCTAATCAGAAAAGTACACCCAAAAAAAAAAAGAGGGAAAAAAAGAGAGACAATCCTTCACCTGAAAATTAAAACATTTACCTGCAAAAGTTGTCTTCCCACTCTCAACACAATGCCTTCGGTTGGACTTTTGAAAACAGTGTTGTTTTTAAGGCTTTCCATAAGTACAAATGTCATCAAGGAAACCTGATCGACAATAGTAATTTCAAGAATAACAAGAGATCCAAATGAAAGAACTTTAACATGTGGGGGGAAACTGGAATTTTGTGAAAAATTTTGGATGCAAAATTAGAAGAAAATCTCACCACACAAAGCATAGTTTTAACTTTGGGTGGAGGCGCGGATTGTGACGAACTAACTTCACCTAGCAATGGTTCTTCGAGCAAATTCGGTTCAATCTCAGAATTAGAAGCTCTTGATGCAAGGAAAGATCCTAAAGGTGGTGGTGTATGACAGACTGAAAGTGATCTTGCTGACCTGAAAAAAACCCCCACTCAATTATTATTATTAATTTTTTTTCATAAAGTGAATTAAAAATGCTCAATATATTATCGACCAATCATATGCATATTAAAGAGTTATAAGAGATGGGTCGAGTACATAAAGAAGAGTTCTCCGGAACTATCTGGTGAATAGTATTCGACGGGAATAGGTGAGCTTGGAGCAAATCCAGCTGTCTCTAAATTATCGGCTTTTTTGGTATCAACAACACAAATTTGCCCCGTTCTTCTTTCCCCGGGTCCCGCCTGAGAAGCCTAGCGATACACATTAAGTAAAAGTGTTACCAATCAAGTGGGGAATATGTCAAAATTCCCATTATATTGCATATGTGTAAGTATACATTGACAATTTTCGAACAAGCTACGAGTATAGTTAAATGAAGTAGCAAGCAGATGGTAGTATCGAATCCGAACCTCATGCTTCCTGTTGGACTTAAGTCGTGGATAGACGTGTCCATAGTAAATAGCTTGTGAGAAAAGAATAAGGGTTGTAATTGTATATAACTGTATAGAACCAAAAACTGATAATCAGTCAATCAGATCAATGGTCAATGATAACATGAATGTAAAAAGTTAAACCAGATGGATAAAAAGGAATGGGGTGGAGGAAAAATCATACCAACGCCGTATAATATTGAGTTGGAAGCTGCGAATCAGAAAAGATAATGTATTAAACATTTGACTTCCAAGAATCAGAATTTGCAGTACTTAGTGAGATATTCAAGATTTTGAAGAAACACGAGGAATGAACCTTCAAAATTTAGAAGCAGACTAACATAAAAAAACGAATATTCTAGCACCAACATACGTGAAATGAAATGTCTTTTCCAATCGACGAATTCAGCTAAAAATACATAGAAGGCAGAACACATTAACAAACTTACAGTAGCTGGTTCCAAAATGCAGCCAAATAGATTGAGAGCATCTCTGTATAAAAAAAGGTGGCAAGAAAGTAATCAGTCAGACAAACAAAATTCACCACAAAACAGCTATACAACAATACTCTACAGAAATCAGCATAATATTCCGAACCGTAAAATTTCGAAACCTATAGCGTTTTACAGAGAACCAATAACATCAATGATGTTCAAGAACGAAAAGAAAGATATTTTACATGATAGGAGTAATATATATGAACATGATCAACATATTCTGTGTTCATATTAACCAAGAAAAACAGAACCCATACAGTAAGATTTAGTCTTCCGATTTTTGACCAGCATTAATTACATCATCGCCACTCATAGAGTTCAAGAATTCAGCTTCACATTCGAAACACCATAAGACTCAAAAGAATGTGAAGTAAAAAAAACCCAATGCAATCTGCTAAAACTAACATATAAATGATAGAGACAGGCTTAGAACTAAACAAAATCATTCACGAATACTTTATTTACCCGACAATCCATGTCGTAAGAAACAAAATCGACAGCCCCTCGGCCGATTTGCTCCGGTAATTCGTGACGAGTTGAGGTACCTCAGCCACACACCAACTCACCACACTAATCACACCCAAATCCAATGACAACATATCCCTTTTCCCGCAGAGACAGTAGCCCATGAGCTTTCTTGCCCATTGGGAACAATGCTGATCAACAGGGCATAGCAATGATTTACTTCTCAAAAGCTCCATTGAGAAAATCCCAGGCAAAGACTCTTCTCAATCTACAAAATTCAAGAACTTGTAAAGATACAAGAAAAAAAAAAACACAGATGAACCTGTATTCAAGTAGCAATCTTTAAACAAAAAAATGGAACAAAATCTCGAAAGTTTAAATAGAAAGAACGTAAAAGGAACGTCAGCACAGAATTAGCTGTGAAAAAGATTCGATTTTTAAGAAACCCGATAGCTTAAAAAGGAACCCTTTTGAATGATACGAATCTTTACATAATCAGAGACAATGACAAAAAAAAAAGAAAGTGCCCAAAAAAAGGGGGAAAAAAATTGCAGCAAGTTTGAATTTTTAAGTAAATTGCACAAGGAAGATTGATGCAAAACGGGCCAAATCAATAAAATGTGAAGGAAAAAAAAATAATGGAAAAAATGAAGAAGAGAAAGCACCCCGCAGACACGCAGTGACACACACACACACACACACACACACACACGCAGACTTGCAGAGTGTGTATGATTTATGAATAAATTATGTATATATTAGGTATTTGTGGACTGTGGTAAACGAAGGTCTTTCGAGAGTCTCTTTTCAATAACTCTGTGAATGGGTGCGTATAGGCTGCAAATAGTGACGGCGGGAGGTTCCAGGTGCCTTTTTTGCTTTTATACCCTCCTAATTTTTCAATTTTAAAAAATAGCCCCCTACCTTTGATGGGTCCGGAAACGGGCCGAGCCCAAGAACTTTTTAATTTGTTTGGAATTTTTATTTTGATTTGGTTAATTGGTAGGATTAGTTATTAGTGAAAATATTTAACTATTATTTATAATAAAATAATTAAAATTGATTTGATTTAAAATTATGAGAGAAATTATTTGAATTAATGAGTAGTTGATTTGGGTTAAAAATGTTTGAATATTTTTGGATATCTTGTATCCAAGCAACACCTAAACTATGACTCATCCTTCGAAGTTTGACGTTTTGATTGGAAAAAATTGTGTTTAGTTCGGTTTTTTTACCAATCGATCCCGAGTCGGCTAGACGGGTTTCATAATTAAAAAGTTTGTTATTAAATAAAATATTATGACTTTTGAAATTTTTTTAAGAGATAAATGAGATAAAGGATTTTTGTTAATCTAATAATTGAAACACTATAAATTTAATAATAATTTTTGTAGATATGCACGATTACTAGTTATACATAACATGTGCACAATAGATTTAGGAAAATGTTATATGTACGTAATAAATATACATAAATCTATCTATATCTATCTATATCTATCTATACTATTATAAAAGAGCCTATGAATCTGTAAAAATATAATATGCCTAAAATATCTTTATTTTATCATCTTTGTAATGGCATACATGTAATTTAATATTCACTATATATTATATTTTTAATTTATTTGGTTCCTTCACGTGCAAAATATCCTAAATACATGACCTGGTGTGATTCCGAAAGCTTGAAGCAAGAAGACTCAGGACTAATTAAGAGACTTTTTAATTCTCTAATCTCTATATATATAATTGCTATCTAATCATTAAATAAAACCTCATAAATAAAACCTAATTAATAAAACCTCATTTATTTTTCCTCCAAAAGAAGTTACAAAATTTTTCATTCATATTTTGCCTTTCACATTAATACACTCCTATTAAGTGTAATCATGTAAAAACATTAATAGCAAAAAATAGCATTAACTACTATAATAATAATAATAATAATAATAATAATAATAATAATAATAATAATAATAATAATAATAATAATAATAATAATAATAATAATAATAATAATAATAATAATAATAATAACTACAACAACAACAACAACAATAATAATAATATCTTGAAACAATAAAAATGTTTATACTTATGTAATTTATATTTAGTGTGAAATATTATGAGTTGGTAATAGCATTAACTATTATATAATATAATAGAAAAAAAAAAAATACATAGTTACACTTAATCAATATAGTGATTCATTTGTACTCAAATAATTTATATAAATATTATTTTATTTTTACTAATGATTAAATCTTGAAAATGTGGTATGTCCATTATCTAGAATTTTAATATTAAATTCACATATCTTGAAAATGTGATATGTTTATTTTCTAGAATTTTAATATTAAATTCACATATCTTGAAAATGTGATAGGTTTATCATCTATAATTTTAATATTAAATTCACACATATTACTTATAATTTTTTTGTACATATGTGCATGTGCACAGGATGATAATTGTTACTATTACTATAACTTTTCTTTTTCTTTTCAAAATCTGGAAATCCATTCAGACTATATATAGTATTATTATGATTATTGTTACTATTATTATTTACATTGGTGGACCCAATTATTTAATTTAAGAAATAATTTTAAATTTTCTTAAGAAAATCATTGAAATAAAAATTTTTTGGAAAATTTTTACAAACAAAAATTTTATGTTGTAGTATAGTTGACTGAAAAATATAATTGATGAATTTCTTAATTATGAATATTTGAGTAAAATATTAATGACAAAATTGTAATTATCCATAATATAATATAAATATATACAAATAGTTGATTTATAATAAGACATGCCCAAGAAGTTCTATACTTAATTTTATGCATTTTTAACAAATCTAAAAGTTATTGTTGAATCTAAGAAACTGATGAAGATTGAGAGAGAGATAGCGAACAGTAGAGAGAGAAACAAGAAAAATACTCTTTTCTGATAAACCGAAAAAGTGAATACAAAGATGTTGTTCACCCTATTTATACTTAGGGTTTACAAAGACACAATACTAAAGCTGCTGGACTTTAAATGACAACAGCTTATTTACAAAGCCCAAATATATTTACAAAGCCCAAGTATCATTTACAAAGCCCAAATATAATATCAACACCCCCCCGCAAGATTAGCATGTATATTGCACATGTTAATCTTGGACAGTAAATAAGAGAAGAGGGTTTTAGGCAAGGGCTTTGTTAGTAAGTCTGCAATCTGCTCCTTGCTGGAAATATGGTGCAGCTTGATTAATCCCTGAGCAATCTTTTCTCGAATTAAATGACAGTCAAGTTGTATATGCTTGGTCCTTTCATGAAACACTGGATTATTAGCAATAGCAATGGCAGACTGACTATCTGAAAATAATGAAACTGGACAATAATGAGAAATGTTGAAATCAGCAAGTAAATATAATAGCCATTGGATTTCACATGAGGTAGATGCTAAAGCTCTATACTCAGCTTCAGCTGAGGACCTACTAATTGTGCTTTGTTTCTTAGACTTCCAAGAAATGAGTGATTTTCCCAAAAAAACAGAATAGCCAGTCACACTCTTTCTTGTGTCTAAGCAACTAGCCCAATCACTGTCACAATATGCATTAAGATGTAAAGAAGATGATCTAGGAAAGAATATACCTTGGCCCACTGTACCCTTTAAATACCTTAATATCCTGTGTGCTGCAGTCAAATGAACTTTTGTAGGCTTTGATAAGAACTGACTTAATGTTTGAACACTATAAGAGATGTCAGGTCTAGAAATAGTAAGATATAAAAGTCTACCTATTAATCTTCTATATTCTTTAACATTAGTCAGTTCACAAGATTCAGTGGCAGAACACAATTTAACAGTAGAGTCCATGGGGGTGGGGGCAGGTTTACTGGCAAGGAAACCTGTATCAGTTAAAACATCAAGGGTATACTTTCTTTGACACATATTTATACCTGTGTTTGAGTGTGCAAATTCAAGACCCAAAATGTATTTTAACTGACCTAGATCTTTAATGGTAAAACAAGAATGGAGATGATGTTTGATTTTTGTGATCTCATTAAGATTGTTACCTGCTATAATAACATCATCCACATAGACAAGAAGAGCTGTAAATGATGAGTTATCAGAATGAGATAAGGTAAAAAGAGAGCAATCAGAGACTGATTGTTTGAAACCATAATGCAGTAAGCAAGTTGTAAGCTTTTGAAACCATTGCCTAGAGGCTTGTTTCAATCCATACAGACTTTTCTTAAGTTTACAGACCCTTGTATCATTTGGAGAACAATATCCAGGAGGAGGTGTCATGTAAACATCTTCATTTAACTCACCATGTAAAAATGCATTGTTAACATCTAACTGATGAATATGCCAGTTTTTAATGGATGCAAGGGCAATCATGAATCTAACAGTAGTAATCTTGGCTACAGGAGAGAAGGTTTCAAAGTAGTCTATACCCTCTTCTTGGGTATAGCCTTTTGCCACTAATCTGGCTTTATACCTCTCAATTGTGCCATTAGAATTGTATTTTATTTTAAATACCCACTTACAGCCTATACAATGTTTGTTAGTGGGTAAATCTGTTAGAATCCATGTCTCAGTGTTTTCTAATGCATCCAATTCCTTTTTCATAGCAGCCTGCCACAGAGGGTCTTTGGCTGCTTGTGAATAGGATTTGGGTTCTGTGTGCTCTGAAATGGATGTTGTAAAGCATTTGTGATTTTCAGAGAGTTTAGTAGTTGATAAAAATTGAGAAATGGGATATTTGACAGATTTACCAGATGTGCTGAAAGATGTGTTAGATGAATGAGAAGAATTAGGCAAAGAATGACTGTATATCTGCAAATAAGAAGGAGGTTTTGATACTCTTGTGGATTTTCTTCTTGGAGGTGTTGCAGTGTGAATTGGCTGTGGAGATGGATTTTGTCTATCTGTAATAGTTGGATTAGGAGTAATATTGATATGTTGTGGAGAAGGACTGGGAGAAGTGTTCTGAATAGGTGAACTGGGAGGGTTATGGGAATCAATCTGAGATGTTTGAGGTATATAATCAGAGAAGTCAAAAGAATTTGTTGGAGGAAAAAGAAGCTCAGATGGTTTATGGTTTTGAAAAGGAAACACACTTTCATAAAATTGCACATTCCTGGAAATAAATGTTTTCTTAGTATCAAGGTTGTAAAGTTTATAACCTTTACAACCTATAGGATACCCAAGAAAAATGCATTTTGATGCTCTAGGTGCAAATTTT